TAATTTATTATTAGTTAATAACTATATATATATATATATATATGTATGAGCTAAATAGATTTTAATATTATGGTATGCAAATATTAAAATCTAGCTGTTTAGGACAGACGTGACTGTACAATTCTAATGCCTACTCGATAATTATTTGTTCACTATACAAAATAGAACGCAAAGGAGGGTTGGTGTTCAACAGAATATTAGCGTTCTATAATATGGAAAGACTCGTTTTGTTTTAACCTTTAAAATAATTTGTTTCTTTTTTTTTTCTAAGGAATACTCAAATAATTAAAACGATATACGTAATGGTACACATAAGACTCGAGGTTAGTTTTCAAGAATAAAAACCTACTGCAACTAGCAGAGAAAAATAAGATACTGCACACAATTATCAGCTTTTCATTGGTTAACAAAATGTTTATTCTTGGAAATTTGTGCTATTTCTTTTTTCCTGCTAACGTAATGTTTTCTGCGAAAAAATACACTTTCACGTTTTGTACAGAAGTACTATATTCCACGAAGAAATACAGTTTCACGTTGTCTATAGAAGTACTATATTCTGCGAAGAAATACAGTTTCACGTTTTGTACAGAAGTACTGTATTCTGCGAAGAAATACAGTTTCACGTTTTGTATAGAAGTACTGTATTCTGCGAAGAAATACAGCTTCACGTTTTGTATAGAAGTACTGTATTTTTCGAAGAAATACAGTTTCACGTTTTGTACAGAAGTACTGTATTCTGCGAAGAAATACAGTTTAATGTTTTGTACAGAAGTACTGTATTATGCGAAGAAATACAGTTTAATGTTTTGTACAGAAGTAATGGATACTAAGAAAAAAATTAATGTTTTAAACAGAAATGTGTAATGCATTAGGAGCATAAGCTCACTTTAATGTTCTGTATGGACGTAATACTTAAGAAAAAATAGAATTGCAGGTTTTATGCAGAAGTGAGGTAATGTATACTGAACAAGAACTTTTTTGATGTTTCTTGAGAAACAGTTCTGTGTATTTACACGCACGGTTTTTTATATGTCTTCATTTTTTGGCTTGTTTTATTTGTATTATTCAGCGCAAAGTAACACAGTGAGCTATGTGAACACTGTCCACCTCCGGGAATCGAACCACGAATTTTCCCGTAAACTTACAGCTGGGGACTCCTTTTTTGGAAAACCTAAATTCGCTATTGCATCAAATAAGCTTTGTTTTGAGCAACAGCAACAACAAAATCTTACAGTGTGAATAAACGAAAATCACTTAGATCTTAATACAAACACATGTGTATTGTACTTACTGACAAATAATTAAAATTGGAAAACCTAAATTCGCAATTGCAGTGTGAATAAACGAAAATCACTTAGATCTTAATACAAACACATGTGTATTGTACTTACTGACAAATAACTAAAATAGCATCAAAGGATGCTAATGCATAGAGAGGAATATGAAATAAAGATTTGAGTCATTACCTCTGCCAGCATATTATTCGACACTTGGGAACAAACATATATGTTCATATTAGACAGGAGTACACTTTCAGGTACACTGAGCAAAAGTAATTTTCACATTTTATGTTCCGGTAACTGCGGTCGAAGTGTCCAGGAATAACGTCACGATGACACAATTTACTGTAAGCGTCTGGAGTAAAGAAAAGTCCAGATAGCAACTTAAGGAAACTCACAACGCTATCTAAACAGTTCAGCTTCGATAAGATTGGTTCTTCTAGAAGTAATCTCGGGATGCTATATCGTGTCGATATCAACTTCTAACTTAATCGATAAGCTTCCTATTACAAAAAGCTCTGGAGATGCTTAATCTGTAGTCACAAATACCGTACGTTACTAGAACCAACCCTTTCGTTTTCTATGGCTCTACTGCTTGAGGCTAAGGTCCAGTCGAGAGAGAAGTACGTAAACACTTCGCTTCTCTAGCGGTAATATGTATTTATTAGGAATGTAAAAGTCACTACATTTCTATGAAGAGTTGAAAACAGCTTCTGATTGTTCTTAACCACTCACATTTACGCTATATCAAGTCATGTTAAGATATACTAATGAGAAATTAATATCAGTAAATGTCATTTTTCTAGCTGATTTATTCTAAACTATTGTAAGATAGAGCGGTTAAATAACGATTTCATTTTCTCTCCAACTCTTGAATTTGGTAATATACTTTGAACTTAATGAGTATGTATAATGAGTAAATAGCTCTCGGTATCATACCTTAACCGTAATGAGTATAGATTTGTTTGTTTGTTGGAGTCGATACTCTATTTTCAACCACATTTCGTTTGTGTTTTTGCAGCTTTGCGGAATTTTTGGAAAGCTTGATATTTTGGTTCACACCCAATAAAAAATAGGTTAGTGGTTTTCTAGTTTCTCTATTCATTACATAACATTAACAAAGTCGAAGCTATTGTAAGTAATGAGGTTAAGTTTGTAGAAATTAGAAGTTATCCCTGATAACATTAACAGAGTCTAAGCTATTGTAAGTAATGAGGTTAAGTTTGTAGAAATTAGAAGTTATCCCTGATAACATTAACAGAGTCTAAGCTATTGTAAGTAATGAGGTTACATTTGTAGAAATTAGAAGTTATCCCTGATAACATTAACAAAGCCGAAGCTATTGTAAGTGATGAGGCTAAGTTTGTAGAAATTATAAGTTATTCCTGATAACATTAACAAAGCCGAAGCTATTGTAAGTAATGAGGTTAAGTTTGTAGAAATTAGAAGTTATCCCTGATAACATTAACAAAGCCGAAGCTATTGTAAGTGATGAGGCTAAGTTTGTAGAAATTAGAAGTTATCCCTGATAACATTAACAAAGCTGAAGCTATTGTAAGCTATGAGGTTAAGTTTGGAAAGCTTGATATTTGGGTTCACACCCAATAAAAAATAGGTTAGTGGTTTTCCAGTTTCTCTATTCATCACATCTTCTAGTTAATTCGGAACAAATCTTTTTTTTTAATGTCATTAGACTTCGTTAATGATGCTATGAAAGAAATAGGATAACAACCAGAGCCTAGAGTGCTTTAAATAATCTGACAATCAGTCGTGTATATAAATATCTTGTTTAGTTTACCCAGTACTCGCTTTAAATCTATGTTCACGAAAAAGAATGTACAAACATCACAACTTCTTGAGTGGTTTACCTACAGCTCCAATGGTAGATATACGTTAACTTCAGAAGCACAACACGGCATCTCTTTTATTACACTCGCATGAGTGTATAATATTTTCCCCTTAGATGTTTATGACTGTATGTTCCCTCCGTCTTCCACAGGAACAAGTGTAGCTATTGGTATAACTTTTAATCTAAATTAATCACAAGGTGCGCCGAATTCCTTATAGTGCGTATTTGCATGATGTCAAGTTCCAGTATCCTGTTGTCTGGTTGTTTCTAAAGCTATCCATTTATTACCTTCAATGTCACCACGTAATGACCGTAGTTCAGTTTGCTGATTACCTTCAATGTCACCACGTAATGACCGTAGCTCAGTTTACTGACTACCTTCAATGTCACCACGTAATGACCGTAGCTCAGTTTATTGATTACCTTCAATGTCACCACGTAATGACCGTAGCTCAGTTTACTGGTTACCTTGAATGTTACCTGACAATTCTTTAGAGCTGTCTTTCGACTACCTGCATAGTAACCAGGAGGTAAATGTAGAGCTTTCCCTTGATTACCCGCGTGGTCTCCAGATAATGAAGGTAGAACTGACTCTATTACCTGCACGGTTACCTGATGGTCCTTCACAGCTATCCCTTGACGATCTACATGGTTGCCTGATAGTGGTGTACATCCATTTCTCGTTTATTAGTATTGCTACCATTGGTGTAGATTGTTTATTGATTTCTTGTATAATCACCTGATATTGGTAGTAGTTGTTCATTGGTTACATGTATAGTCATCAGATAGTTCTTTGATTATCTAAATGGTCACGTAATAGCTTGTATGGTCACCTGATAGTGACGTAGATATGTTCTTTGATTATCTAAATGATCACGTAATAGCTTGTATGGTCACCTGATAGTGACGTAGATATGTTCTTTGATTATCTAAATGATCACGTAATAGCTTGTATGGTCACCTGATAGTGACGTAGATATGTTCTTTGATTATCTAAATG